CAGAGTGTAGACCACATTCAAAACCTATTTCTGATTAATGGACCATCGGCCAAACATGCTCTTGTTGGAGAGAGAGGCTGGTTCTCAGTTATATGTTTTATGTTTCCCCTCCATAAAAATGTACCTGGAGATGTATGGCACCCAAACTAATTATTTAGAGGACTTTAGGTCCCGAGACTTTAGTTGCTTTTGTATTGTAAAACTGTAGAGAGGGAGCAGCGTCTGCAGTCAGAGCTCTGTGTCCCCTCCTTCTGTCTGTGTGTGCGTCTGTGTGTGTTTGAGTTAAACTTGTATGTGATATAACATTTGACAGGAGACAAATACATACACTTATGAGTCACTATTTGACTGTTTGGGCGGAGAGGTGACTGAGGGTGGTCTTCACTTTTTCACATTTCTGTCTGAAAAAGCTGAAGCTCTGGTCTCTCTCTCTGGCCTTTTTCTGGTCTCTCTGGTCTCTCTCTGGCCTTTTTCTGGTCTCTCTGGTCTCTCTCTGGTCTCTCTCTGGTCTCTCTCTGGTCTCTCTCTGGTCTCTCTCTGGTCTCTTTCTGGTCTTGCTCTGGTCTCTCTCTCTCTCTGGCCTTTTTCTGGTCTCTCTCTGGTCTTGCTCTGGTCTCTCTCTCTGGTCTCTCTCTGGTCTCTCTCTGGTCTCTGTCTGGTCTCTCTCTGGCATCTCTCTGGCCCCTCTGGCCTCTCTCTCCCTGATCTCGCTCTGGCCTCACTCTAAGCCCAAAATGGTGAGTGTGACACATATGGTTACGAGTTTAAACCAAACTTCCCCATGAGCACTTGGTCTTCATTAAGCTGAGCATCGTCCATCTATGTACAGTCTGTGAGTTAAATGCGTCCAATGTGTCACCGCCACACTCAGCTGCTCGCTTCATCGATGTCCACTTTACAAGAACATCTCCCAATAACACTGTTCAGAATAGCTCCTGTTCTATGTGTGGGAGTGATGTGTGAAAACAGAGGAACAGAAATGTGCTGCTTTTGGTGCAAACTCGTGAATCACCCAAAATGTTCTGAGTCGTGTCCTCGCTCTGGGCTTTTTCTGGATTCTGACTCTGTGTTTGTGTTTGAGAAGCTTTGCTCATGCAGCCTTGACAGCTCTTTGTTAAGATGTGAACACTATAGCCTCATTTTCACCAGCTCTCACTGCTCTGCTCTGCTTTGCTCGACTCTACTCTGCTTTACTCTACGCAATTCTACTCTACTCCACGCTACTTTACTTTGCTCTGCTACTGAACTATGCTCTAGAGTAGTAATTCAAAAGGTATAAATGGCCACTTATTTGTTTTTCACTGACTTGTTTGGCTAATGCAGCTTCCTGTGAGTTCTGTTTTACAAATAACTCACACATTATAGGAAATAGTAATGTGTTGGACTAAATGTTTTGTACATATCTGTAAAGGAAATTGAAACCGTTTTATTTGGTCCTTAGATTTGGACACCTTCTTGCCTTCCCTGTTAGGAGTCCAAACAACATGCCAACCTTTCCCACTATGTCCCAGCTCCACACAGCATCACATGTAGCAACAGCAGCACAAGCTTCTGTCCGGCGTCTGTACCATAGACTGTATATGTTAATGGACGTAGTCACGCCTATCTCCGTTCTAACTAATGGGCCAAAAATTGGGCTTTCATGGACGCATCTGCGCACGCATCAGCCAGCACGAGCCCCATTCATTTAAACGAGTGACTTCAAAAATTCACAGCGAGTAAACTAGACTGGTCCAAAAAAATTCACCCCCCTCAGCATTGACACACATGTGGAACGGAGCTTTGGGCCAAGAGCCAACTTTTGGACCATCCTGTAAAGGTGTTTTCGAGAGGTGAGAAGATGCTATATGTAGCATTGGCTAATTCTTATTCCGGGTCCACCCCCATCAACCCGGGGTGGTATTGCAAGCATGTCAGCGCACGTCATTTTGGCCACTTTTGAGCCAGGACCCGCCCCCACTGGTCTGTACTCATTATCTTCTCTAATCTGTCTCTGTTTCTGTTCCTGTGTCTGTCTGTGTGTTTGTCTCTGTCTCTGTGTCTGTTTCTGTTTCTGTGTCCGTGTCTCTGTCTGTGTGTTTGTCTGTGTTTGTCTCTGTCTGTCACTGTTTCTGTCTCTGTCTTTGATTTTGTCTTTGTGTCTGTCTTTGTATCTGCCTGTGTGTCTGTCTCTGTGTGTTTGTCTGTCTCTGTCCCTCTGTCTGTCTGTGTGTTTGTCTATGTTTGTCTCTGTCTGTCTCTGTTCCTGTGTCTGTGTCTGTGTGCGTCTCTGTCTGTCTGTGTCTGTTTGTAATCATCACCTTCTCTCAGTGAATTGTGTGCGATTAAGTGGAACAGGTCCAGATCTGCCTCAACAATCTGTGACACTGCTGTCTCTCAATTTTTCTTCTGTGCTTTCAACAAATCTTTTTGTCTTTTTCATTGATCTGTTCTACCCGTCTATCCGTCAAGAACTATTGCACACCAGTCGCATTGACTACTGTAATGCCCTGCTCTCTGGTCTTCCCAAAAAGAACATTTCAGGTTTACAATTACTTCAAAACTCGGCCGCACGTGTCCTGACTAAGACCAGGGGGCGGGACCACATTACACCGGTTTTAAAATCGCTGCATTGGCTCCCCGTGTGTTTCAGGATTGATTTTAAGGTTCTTTTAATGGTTTTCAAATGTCTTAATGGTCTTGGGCCTTCTTATCTTTCAGAACTGCTTTTATCCTATGAACCCTCCCGGCCCCTGCGCTCCTCCGGCAGCAGACTCCTAACCATCCCCAAAGTCAGGACACACACTCACGGCGAGGCATCTTTCCAGCACTACGGCCCCCGTCTCTGGAACAGTCTGCCGGAGGAGCTCAGGGTCGCAGAGAACATTCATATTTTTAAAGCCAGGCTCAAGACACACCTTTTTAGATTAGCTTTTGATTAGTATTTATTAGTCCATTTTTATATATTCTATTTATCCTTTATTATTTATTATATTGCTATTGCTTTTATTCATGTTTTGTGTGATAGTTCCTCTCAGGCTCACATTTTAGTGTTTTACTTATTGTATTGTTTTTAAGTATCCCCAGTGTTTCCTCTGGAGGAGCCTTCTGCGCTGGGAGCGGTGGTTGGCTGTGGCTGTGGGGGTCGGACTCTTGGACCTGGTGGGGGCCCGGGGCCTCGGTTTTGGGTCTCCTCTGGGTCCTGTGTCGTCCCCTTTGGCTATGGGCGGCTCTCTGCTCCTGGCGCTGACGGCTCCTTGGATGGCGTTTCTTCAGCCGGTTGCATCTGAACCCTGCCAAGTCTCTTATCGTCGTTTTATTGTTTTATCGGTGCGTGTGTGTGTGTGCGTGTGTGTGTGTGTGGGGGGGGGGGGGGGGGGGGGGGGGGGGGGTTTTGCTTGTGGTCTGGGGAGGAGCTGTTGGGCGGTCGGGGGGAGGGCATGGGCAGGATTGTTTTTTAGCCAAACTGTAAAGCACTTTGTGTTGCATCTGTTGTATGAAAAAGCGCTTTATAAATAAACTTTGATTGATTGATTGATTGACATGTTTTAAGTTTTAGGGGAAACCGTAGCACCCAGAGGAAATCAGGAAAAAGCATTGCCAGGATCAAAAACATAGTGTCTAAATCAGACTCTGCGATTCTTATCCGTGCATTTGTCTCCAGTAGGTTAGACTACTGTAATGGCCTGACAGACGACATGTGATTAAACCTTTACAAACAGAAGAATCCTGAATCGTCTCTGAAGCTCTGACAAGAATGACAGCTCTCTCCAAAATGTGATTTGTAAACAACGACATCACCGCTTCCCAGAATCAAGCCGTCCAATCAGCCATCTCCCATCTGTTGCCCAGGGAGACAAAGGCACGGACAGCACATTTAATGGATGTCCCTCAAGCCGGGTTTCTCAAGAGCCACTGCCTTTAATTCAGAACAAACGTAAAGGATTTGCAAAACTCTAGACATCTGCAACTGACAGAGCTGTGTTCATACCCTTCCACCATCCCAGGGGGCGCTCTAACGCAATACAAATACTCTCTTTCTGGTCTCTCTCATTCGGATCTTTCTCCCTCTCTCACATCTCTCTCTGATCTCACTCTGGTCTTTCTCTCTGGTCTCTCTCTGATCTCACTCTGGTCTCTCTCAGCCAGAGTGAGTTGGAACCAAACTTCACCATGAGCACTTCCCTATTTGGCTTCATTGAGCCAGCGGGTTAACATTAGCCTTCTATATACATGGTCCAGCTACCCCCGGTTGGGAAACTCATTGATTATAGCTCAATACACCTCCACATATCCTACCAAACTGACGACAAACAACTTACGAGTCGCATCTGCAAAAAGGAGAGCCGACCCAATGTAAGAATTCAGCTTTAAACACATCTGTAATTAAATAATGTGTTAAATGAAACATCCAAAGTAACATTCCTCATTAGGAAAGTTCAAAATACTGCTAAATATTGTTTTTTTTCTTGGATGAGGCAGAACCAACACTGGCTCTGGAAGAGAAAACACATGCAGGCTGTTTTAGGATTTCAATAAAGTACTGAACCAATATATTTTTCAGGTGTAAGCTGAGGTTAGAGCTGAGTTTCATGCTACTGACTGCAACGCTCCTTGTAATCTGATCTGTTGTTTTTTGTCCAAAGCTCCACAAACTATCGATCGTCAGGCACTTTAGCTGCAACCTAACCTCTGCTCTCTCTCCTCACCCCACTCTCTCCTCTCCCTTCTCTCTTCACCCCACTCTCTCCTCTCCCTTCTCTCCTCACCCCACTCTCTCCTCTCTCTCCTCACCTCACTCTCTCCTTTCCCCTCTCCTTTCTCTGTCCTCCCCTCTTTCCCCTCTCACCTCTCTGCCTCCCCCCCTTCTCCCTCTCTCCCCTTCCCTCCACTCCCCTGTCTCCCCTGCCTCCCCCCCTCTGTCCAGGGACGTCTACTGGAAAGCATTGATCTGTTGTTGTGTGTTTGATGGCGGTGGACGAGGGGATAGTGTTAGGAGCTAATGTTTCTGCTGAAGGAGGATGAGGTCAGAGATGATTCTCAAGTTATTTAGGGGTCATGTGAGGTCAGCTGACGACGACCTACAGGGAGGAAGCAGTGAGTGGAAGTCAACAATAAAAAGTCTACCATTTTTCTATCAGGCACGGCAGAAATAAACCAAAATTTGTACTCATTCATTGTATTTTTTTAACTGAAAAGGCGGCATTTATCATTATCTGAACTAATTTTGGCTTAAAACAAATTTGACCAATGAAACAGAGTAGAGTAGAGTAGAGTAGAGTAGAGTAGAGTAGAGTAGGGCTGATTCATTGCTCAGATTTTAATTATGTCTATTACACAAATAAAGCCCCACCCTGTGTGTATGTGTGTGTGTGTGTGTGTGTGTGTGTGTGTGTGCGTGCGTGCGTGCGTGCGTGCGTGCGTGTGTGTGCGTGTGTGAGTGTACGTCTCTCTGTGTGCGGGTGTGTACAGTGTGTGTGTCTCTTTCTATGTATGTCTGTGTGTCTCTGTCTTTCTCTCTCTCCCTCTCTCTTTGTGTGTGTGTCTGTCTCGCTCTCTCTCTCTCTCTCTCTTTGTGTGTGTGTGTCTCTCTCTCTCTCTCTCTCTGCGAGTGTGTGTGATTGATCCATAAGTGATGACATCATGGTCCAGAGAGAGGCACTCTAGTCCTCTCTGTGAATCATTAATGTATCCGCTGCTCCGTCTGCAGCGGCTCAGATTACAGGACACCTCCGAGATCCAGCCCTGTGTCAACAACATGGACTGTATACCAGGAGTGGACTGAGTGTGACATCACCCTACTGTTAGCATTAATGCAGAAGTGGCTGATTTGAACATGAGCAAGCTGGAGCCAATTTCCTTATATGGGCATTTGTTTTGACAGCGTTTTCTTTGCGCCCGGAGTTATTCAGTCCCTCCCGGATCTCTGTTTCCTCTCTCTCTACTTGGGCTCTCTCTGGTCACTCTCAGTCTCTTCTCTCTAGTCTCTGGTGCAAACTTATTGGTATGAATATATGCCTAACTATGAAAGACCTGCCCTAAACATTTTTTTTTTTACATGCTGCTGTGTTCCTATTTTCGCAGCACCTCTCTTCCGCACCAGACGCTCATCAGACTAAGCTATTATGTGACAAACAGGAGACATCCTCTACCTCGCCCCAGTCAACCCGCGAGTAACACTCATCCTGTCTGGAGGTCAGGGTCACCGCTGGGACCTCTCCACCTCAGAGGATCCAAATGCACTGCAGCCACTGGGACCCTATTGATAACATATAAGGTTAAGTGCATATGGAAAGTGTGTGAGACCAGAGACCAGAGAGACTGGCAAGAGACTAGAGTGAGAGACCAGAGAGGGAGACGAGAGAGAGAGAGAGAGGGACTAGAGAGAGACCAGAGAGGGAGAGAGACTAGAACCAGAGATGAAGACCAGAGAGAGAGGTTAGCGAGAGATTAGAGTGAGAGATCAGAGAGAGAGACCAGAGAGGAAGGCCAAAGAGAGAGACCAGAAAGAGACAGCGATAGACTAAAGTGAGAGACCAGAGAGACTAGAAAGAGATCAGAGCGAGACCAGAGAGGGAGACCAGAGAAAGAGACCAGAGAGAGACCAGAGAGAGACCAGAGAGAGAGACCAGAGAAATAGACCAGAGAGAGACCAGAGAGAGAGAAAGTGCATAATGAAAAGTGAGAGTAATGAGATGAACGAGATCCGCTGGGACCTCTCCAGAGAGTCCAGAAAGAGAGAGACTAGAGAGAGACTAGAGAGAGACCAGAGAGAGAAAATAGAGAGAAAGACCAGAGAGAGAGATGAGAAAGAAAGAGACCGAGAGAGAGAGACCAGAGATAGAGAAAGTGCATATGGAATGTGAGAATGATCAGATGGCGACAGCGCGAGATCTGTCTCGGTCTCATAAACACAGACGAGGTGAATGGGGCCTGGGTGTTTAATTCATGAGGACCAGGAGGAGCCCGGTGAAACCTGCTCCTCTCCTCGGCTTTAACTTTAATGAGCATGCCACATCCGGACACAGGTGTGCGCTCAGACAGATGGCTGAAAGACAACAGCGGTCACTGCGAGTGCCAGAGAGGAAACAGAGACATGTGTGATGTAGTGAAGAAGATGACAAAGTCTGGGATCGCGTCTTACATTCAGACAGAAGACATGTTTTATTGTCGATGGTAGAGACAGCACGAACAAAACACACGATCACAGAAACAATAGAATGCAAGTGTATTATACAGAGCGGAGGCATGGAGACCTCCAATCAGCAGCTTCCTAGGTGTGCTTGTAGCTTGGCCTTCAGATAGACAAAACAAGGGAAAAGTACAGGCTTCTGCACATTGATAGAATGATGAGTTTAACTTTAACAAAAGTTGCTTCAAAGTGTTATGAAATCTCATATTCCCCCCTCTGGTCATACATTCACGTGTGACCATCAGGATCGATAAACAGCAACATAACATCATAACTCAATACTTCAAAACTCATACTTCACTCGGTACTTCAAAAAACTCAGAACTCGGAATACTTCAAAAACTCAGAAAACTCATAAAACATGTTCAGATCTTTCATAAAACTTGTCAACAATCTTCAGTAAAATACCAAACTTCATCAGTCGATGGTGGTTCCAGATATTGCTTTGAAAACAGTCTCTCCCACTTCTCCGTGTTGGCTTCTTCAGGCTGCATTTGTGTCGAGCCATGAATTCTTCTGTGACGTGTCTTTCAATCACACGTTTCAGCTTCAGTGTCCAGATTCAGCAATTCAATTCAGTCCAAATTATTTCCAAATTCAGAAATCCAGATTGTTCCAAATGATGTCCATGCAAAAGAGGACGATGGTATTGTCCATGTCTCAGCAGCTCACAGCCTGACTGGAATCAGGGGCTGTGCAGATTGTCCATGTGCTGATCCAGATGCATGGTTTCTATTGAGGTTTCTCAGTTTTGGCTTAAAAAAAAAACACATTTTGGTGTAAAAAAAAAAGTCTTCTGTTCTCTAGATGTTACAGACAAGGCCTGCATCCTTCCACCACCTGAAGAAGATGTACCAAGTCTGGGATCGCGTCTTAAATTCAGACAGAAGACATGTTTTATTGTCGATGGTAGAGACAGCACGAACAAAACACACGATCACAGAAACAATAGAATGCAAGTGTATTATACAGAGCGGAGGCATGGAGACCTCCAATCAGCAGCTTCCACGGTGTGCTTGTAGCTTGGCCTTCAGATAGACAAAACAAGGGAAAAGTACAGGCTTCTGCACATTGATAGAATGATGAGTTTAACTTTAACAAAAGTTGCTTCAAAGTGTTATGAAATCTCATATTCCGGTATTAGTATTAGATAGCAATATGGCCTACGTGCAGGACTGTACAAGGACTCTACAAGGACTCCATGTTATGACTATGATGTGACTGTCTCTTTGTGACACGTATGTCTTTCGATGTGTGACGTGACAATGACTATATAAACTGTGTACTGCCTTTATTCTGTCTGGGAGAAAGAAACAGAGTAAACCAGTGGAACTTGAGAGAAACTTAAATAAACTTCCAGAGTTTGGCGCACCACGATCCGTCTCTGTCTGCTTGAATCCTGACAGATTTGGTGGAGAATGCGCGGCTCAGTGTGCGCCATTCTCTGGATTGTTTTGAGGGAGTTTGCTCTGTTTTTTTTCCTCGGCGTGAGAGACCGGCATGCTGCGTCTGGGAGCGGAGATTCCAGCAGACTGGAAGAGCTGTTCCTGGATGCTTCTTGTCGCTTCTGTCACTTTTGTTTTTTTAAATTGAATATTCCGACGCGGAAAAGAGTTGGCAGACCTCTCGGACAGTCCTCGGATCCTGTTTGACAAGAATAAGGTAAGCAGACACCTTTTTAAATGTAAAGTCTGCATAATTGGATACTAGCTAAATTTTGGTCTGTTTTTGAGGTCTGTCGAACTCTCTAAATTGTGTTCAAATAAGTGAAAAGTGTTGGCCATAAGTGAGGATCCATAAAGTGAAAAGTGTTGGCCATAAGTGAGGATCCATAAAGTGAAAAGTGTTGGCCATAAGTGAGGATCCATAAAGTGAAAAGTGTTGGCCATAAGTGAGGATCCATAAAGTGAAAAGGCCATAAGTGTATAGGATCCATAACGTGAAAAGGCCATAAGTGTAGGATCCATAAAGTGTTGGCCATAAGTGAGGATCCATAAAGTGAAAAGTGTTGGCCATTAAAGTGAATAGGATCCATAAAGTGTAAAGGCCATAAAAAGTGTAGGATCCATAAAGTGTAAAGGCCATAAGTGAGGATCCATAAGTGAAACCATGGTGTAAAATTAAAAGTAATTATAAAAAGGGAAACGTGTTAAGGAGGCCTTTGTTACAAAAGCTTTGAAATTGACGAATTTCAGGCTGATAAATGACAAAAGTAAAGAATCAACAATATTTCAGTGATCACGGTTTAAATTACATACAGAAAAAAGGAGTTTTTGTTTTTGGCGTGAACGGAGTTCACCGGAGAATGCAGAGTTTTATCTAAAGTTGAGCTATGAGAGCTTTCGTGAGTTATTTACATTTTTTGCAGAGTTTTATCTACAGTTAAACTATGAGAGGGTTGTATCCAACAGTTGTTTTTTGTTTTTTAGAAAGAGATTTTGAGTTTAAATTAGTTTGCTACCTCGATAAAATAGAAGCGTAAACGTTAAAGACAAGAGTGCCTTTTGTTACTAGTGTGGAAAGTGGCCATTTCTAGACTTGGATGACAAAAGTATAAAGAACAACATAAGTTATATTCGCTTAACAAAGTAATCTTGAAAGTTATTCTTCTGTATCTTTCTGCCTGTGTGTGCGCCGCACTATCTGCTGCCGTTGTCAGGGAAACGGCCCCCTCCTTCGCTGCTCTGGCTCTGAATCAGAGCAAAGCTACTGCTTTAGGATTTAGGCTTTTCATAGTTGTTATTCCGTTAAATTTGCGATATTTGCAATTGAACCTTGTGTTATGACACAGTTAAACGTTTTTAAACACCATTTAGTAAATATAAGTTTTGAATTAGTATGTTTTTGAAACCCAAAGATTAGTACAAAAAGCTTTGCTTTGCTTTTTAAATCTGCTGCTTATTTTGTGAGTCCATTATCGTATCTCTGATATATTTCATAGCTGTTTGTGAGAATTTTTTAAATGTTTTTATTTTAGTTACAAAAGCCGTTTTTAAATTAGAATCTGTGTTAAAAGTGATTATTGATTATAGACTTCGTCTAAAAAGAAAGAGGGAATTAGGAATTAGCTGTAAAAGTATTATTAAGTTAAACTACCCAATTCACCCATTGCAAGCGGTGACGTTTTTGTTTTGACTACACGCCTGACCTTCCTCCTGCTGCAGATGCACGCAGCACAGGAGCCTGGTCTAAAATGTGCTCCAATTCATATTGACTTAAGTTGAAAATGCTGCAATTATTTTAAATTAGTAGAATATATGCTGAGATAAATGTTCATGGATAATTAATCACACAGTACAAAAGTATATAATACATATTTTAAAGTTTAAAAAGGTTTTTTTAGATTTGAGTCTTGTTTTTTTATATTAAGAGTTTCTGGTCTTAAAAATGTCATCATTAGTAAGATAATAAGTAATCTTTTATTTACATAGCGCTTGGAAAAACCCAGAGCGCTCCAAAATTGTTTTGACTTTAGGGAGAAAAACAATCTCATTCGCATACTGATATCTATTGTTTTTTTAAATTGGCCGTCTCAAGGATTGTTTTTCAGACTCTGCCACACTGTACGGGGTCACTGCTGGACACTGGACAGCGCAACGCCCACCCAGCCACAGGCCACAGAGCTAAGAGCAAAGGGCAACAATGCCACCTCTACGCCCCTCCCCCCACTACAGAAGTAAGTGGGAGTGAGACCGGGGCCACAAAGTGGAGGTTTCTGGAGGCAGTGATGGGTGGAGCGTCAGGTAGAGACCTAGAGGCAGTTGAAAGTGTGCCCACTTTAATTGTTTACATCACCACAGTGTGACCTTTGAGACCTGCAGGTGGTTCGAGGAGTCTGGAGACACAACCCCAAAATTCACATACACACACACACACACATACACACACATACACTCACACATTCACATTTACATATAGATACATGAAAAAGCAGAACATGAGAAAAAAGCATTTAAAAGTTTACTCCAATGTAAACCAATATTTGTCTATCACTTGAATCTTTACTTGAATCAGTATTTTTTAAGACCAGAAATGTTCATTTGAATTCTATATTGTCATGGACTAATTGACGTC